AATAATCATGTTGTGATGTCATGAATGAAATAAAAATTGAAACAAAAAAACAATGAAGGAAAAGAGACTTCAGAAAGCAAATATCTCTAAAGATGGAACAGTTGAACTGAAATTTAGATAATAAAATAGAGACACAACAGGGCAGGAGTAAGGACTCACTAATTGCCAGCTCTAGAAAGCCCAAAGTCATCAACCTGGTGCACAGTGAGATGAAGAGTCACACCGACAAAGGGAACCAGGATAAAAACAACTCAGAAACAAACAGATACAAAAACATATGTGGAAGGCATTCTAAGTGTCATGGGATGATACTGAAAGATTTTAAACAAGAAAGGTTTCAGATATGTTATGCTCAAAACTGCTTTTATATAGATTTATGATGAAAGACTGAAAGATGACAGTGTAAGTTCAGATGAGATGGGGTAACCACTGGGATTGTCTAGGCACAAGATGCAACTCCATCAAAGACCCCAGAAGGATATATTACCTGAGTAAACAGGAAGTATAGAGCAAACATCTTCCAAAATTATAGAAATGGCAGAAACAGCAGGCTGCCTGGACATTCACCCAAAGTTTCTCTGCAACATTGGGGTATCCGTCTTTGGCCTACAGGCCTATAATATCAAAATAATGGTTGTTTAAAAGTAGATTCAACAATCTACACTTATATCTCATCATTTTTATACTATATCCCCATTTTTTCCTTCAGGAAAAGATCCTTGAATATAACTCCTTTGTTTGGCTTTTTTCCTGACCATGACCAAGAACAATTTGTAACCAACCTCCTAAACAATGACAGACATCTATAACCCATTGAATGGCCAAAAGCTGTTCAATCCCACCTCTTGGGAATGTGGGTATCATGTTCTATACACTGCTTCTTGTTGTCTGGGGGTGATGAATCTTTTGGAGACCATGGGAGAATTGAGATAATGGTCAAGTCCTGGGAGAGATAGTTGTTGTCCAGTCTCTGTACAATGGGAAAGTATAAGACTTATCTGAAGTCCTGACTGGAGTAGTCTGTGAACTAGGTGATCTTAGCCAACAGTCTTGAAACTGTCTGGGCGCAGAACTCTGATGAAACTGCAACAGAGGCACTCTGAGAAATTGAATCACCTGGGTCATCCAATTCATTGGTGTTTGGTCCTCTTGCTCTGTCTTGTAGTTTTTCTAGGTTTATTTCTTTAAGTATGTAGCCTGGATTTTCAGGGTATCTTCCTCGATCAAATTGGTCTCTACTAATCTGAAAGGAATGAACAGCCTTTTGTTTCCTGTGGAAACAAAAGTAGAACCTCTCCCCCAATATAACACATTATCCGACTTCTATTTGAAGTTAAGAAATGTTAAAAAACATATCAATTTTTTTAATTTAGCAGTTTCCATAATCCAATCTCTCTCAGTAGCTATTGTTTTTTGTACATTAACATTTAAAAAATTCAAAGCTAACAAGACATTATAAAGAACGCCGACTCCCTTGTATTTTTCATCCATTGTTAAACACACTGCAAACTGTTAGAGGTTTTGTCCATCAGAATATGCTTAACTGAGTATTTATAACCTTTTCTTACTGCATGAGCAAAACCTTAAACACGCCATTTGGCTTAGCTCATGGCACCCTGGCAGCTCAAGCACACAGGCAACTGCTGGGAGCTGTGTCTCTGTACTGTGGCCAGCATGAGTGACACAAGACTAGGAAGCCACAGTTGTCTCCATTTTTGTGTGTTTAGAACTTTTTTAAGGCTTTCTCAGTTCTGTGGCTATACATGGCCAGACATTGGGCACCATTTTCAGGCAGAAGTTTCTGTCCTTCCTGCCAGCTCCCAAATCATGACACAGAGACTTCTTGTTCATCACAAAAGTACAGCTGATAGCTTAGGCTTGTTTCTAACTAATTCTTATAACTTTTAAATTAACCATTTCTAGTCATTTACTTTCTGCCTCATGGATTTATTACCTTTACTCTGTACAGTGCACACTACTTGACCTTTCTGTCTCTGGCTGGCGAATCTCTGCATCTCCACATTTCTTCTTCCCAGTATCCTCTCTGCCTCGAAAATCCTGCCTAGCTATTGGCCATTCAGCTTTTTATTAAACTAATCTGAGTGACAAATATTCACAGTGTATAAAAAAGATTATTCCACAACATTGCTAGATTTGGATGTGTGGGAATCACTGACCTGTGTATTTGAAAGACTTTAAAAGAATGATAGCTATTGAAGTAATAGCCTCAACCATATTAGAAAAATAATGCATTATAAAAATTGAAATTGTTCTTCTCTCTTTCCTTTCATCTGTGCCTATACAATTACTCCAGAGATCTAGATCTCTAGTTACTAAAGCATCAACTCAGGAGTACACTAATACTAAGGTTACAATTGTGCTCCTGAGCCCAGAATACATGGATTGGCTCCTCGTGGTTTCTAAGACTCTCTCTAGACCAGTGGTTCTCAAACTTCCCAATGCTGCAACCCTTTAAAAGAGTTCCTCATGTTGTGACCACAACCATAAAATTGTTTCCACTGCTATTTCATAACTGCAATTCTACTACTGTTATGAATCGTAATGTAAATATCTGACATGCAGAATATCTGATGTGCGACCCCTGGGAAAGGGTCATTCAACTCCCAAGGGTATCACGACCCACAGGTTGAGAACCATTTCTCTATAAATTCTCTGTAGTTAGCTAGTCTGCTCTTCTATTGTTTTACCTAGTGTTTTCTTTTAATAAGAACCATGTGTGTGCTAACTATTGATTTAAGTGAATGGACTGCAAGAGAGAAAACTTGATATTGTGCAGGGCAGCTACCTACCGATCCCACCATTCCCTAGTGTTTTCTTGAGTGAGAGGAGCAGGAAATAATAGATAGAAGGATTTAGAGTGTGGAGATAAACAAATAGAAAATACAGGATAGCCTGAGAGAGCCTGGAACCTATTCCAATGGTCTCTGACTGTCTCTGCCCTAGACTATTTATAGAAACGCCAAGGGGTGGAACAAAAGACCTCTTCCCAGCGCAGCCAAGTGTGGACCATCTCAGACACCTGCACTCAGGCCCATAGTCCAATCATCCTCTCTTTGCAGACCTGCTGGATAAAGCCACTAGGAACCAGAAAATGGGCTCCCACAATATTGTACTTCACTCTTAGAAATTCAATTTCCACGAATATCTTGTCATATTTTTATGACATTCATTTACAGTAAAAGTCTCTGAAGCATATACATTTTTGTACTAAAATGCCGATCATTCTGATGTCATAAGTGTATGTATTAGAAGATTGTGAGAGTCTTTTACACTGCAACTGTTGTCTGAAATATTGTACTTGGAGAACACAATAGTTTATTGAGATCATTGCTGAGAAGTCAAATTAAAAACAGGAAATAAAACTCAGCAATATGTCACTCTCCTTAGAGATTTAAGGGTGTAAAAGTTTCATATTCCTTTTGCTTTTCTTTGAAGAACACTGGAACATCTATACAGGTACACACTTGAGTTTACTTAGTTCAACTCAAAGCCCAAGCTACTCAGACCTAGATTGCCTTTGACAGGAATGTCCAATGCCCAAATGCCAATACCATTTGAATAAATGTTAGAGTATGCACTCCTTAATAGGAGAAGTGTCTGATTTATTCAGTTAACATTTTGTTCAAAATGCCTGAAACATGACCTGGATAACCCATGTGGACCAGAGGACAAAGCCCAGCTTTGCAAGCCCCTCCTTTGGCCAGATTAGCATTTGAAGTGGGTGGTTAATCCACTGCAGAAATACCCCTCTGTGGACAGTTCTTAACACATATCCCCCTACTGAAGTGATATTTATAAAAAAAAAAGTCTGAGTCTTTAGTATTGTTAGACCAAATTTCAAAACCGCTTAAAACTAATACTATTTTTAGTTGATGGCTGAGAAATGACAGAGTGGAATAAAGCACCATCAGAATTGGAGGACTGACAGAATTTGAAACCACAAACATCCACTTTTTTAACTTGGTCCTTGATATCCAATGGACACAGGATATTTTAACAGTCTACATAGACAGGCTGGTGGTATTTCATGTGTAACACCCTGAGTAACAGAAATGAACTTCTAAGAAACAGAAAGTCCAGACTTACTGTGTATGAGCTGCACAAGTATTCTAGGGATCAGAACAATGTTCTGTACTTTCTAAGTCATGAAATAGTTCCTTGAAACAGATAGAAATGAGTAAAAATTCTACAATGCTGATATTATTCCTTGTTCACATTCTGGCAATCCTACATTCATTCTGGCAAATACCTCCAACTGATGTTTTCACAAAATGAGGTCACAGTTAGAATTACTACCAGAAAAAGCACAGGTAAAACAAAATATCCTTTCCTGAATTATTTAGGCAAAGTACTTGTTTAGCTACAATTTACCAAATTATGAAAGGCATTAGCAGTTTTACATCCTATGCTCTAAATCAGCATGATCTGTTCTTAGGACAGGACAATTATTCCCAACACTTTAAAAGTCCGTAAAAAGGAGGTTTGTTTTTTTTTTCACATGAAGTAATGAATCTTCCAGTGTGTATTCAGTGTTTGAGCCGTGAGCGTTATAAGGATTACGTGCTGAACCCAAACACAAATGACCAGCAAAATGACTGACATGGACCATACTAAATATAAAGTCACTTGAAGTCAAAGTTCTTAGAGTAAAAAACACTTAAAATCTGAAAAGTAATTGTGGCTATTTTTTATTTTAGCCATAGCTTTAGATTCAACTAGATAAGTAAGTTAAGAATGCAATTAGTATATTTTTATACATTTTCACACACTTTTGTAAAGCACAAAGCATTCATTCTTTAAGGAATTTGGTTTTTCTTTTTTCCTCCATCCTCATGACTAACAACTCTGTTTCCTGCTCTGCAGTGCCCCAGGAGGACTGACCTGTACATGACCCTGTTGACGTAAAAGCTTTCCTTCTTGCTATCACCTCAGTGGGTGAAAAGTAGGAGGGCAGTAGAATATGACTACTGATACTAATACCCTATAATTAGTCTCTGTTATTTATCTTGGGTCTTCTCTGCAGCTAAGGGGCCAAGCAAGACCTACTGACAAGCAAGAGTTGACTCCAGGTGAAGGTAATGGTCCTCAACTTCCCAGGGCAGTGATGTAGAGCAGTTACTGAAATACCACCAAGGTTATTTTGTTACTTGGGATACCAACTAAGGTTATTTTGGAATCACACTTTCCTCCTCTTAGCCCTGATTGCTAAGATTAAATACATCTAGGTATCATTTCTATATTAATTCATAAATTAGACATTAGACTTTAGATAGTGTTATGATCAAAATTTTAACTATACTTTGTCTTTAAGTCTAGGTTTGATACTGTCTAATAATACAAGGTATTGTAAATTCTAATAAAGATACTTATAAGAAAAATACTACTGCTGTAGACAAATAGAGAGGTCTTATTTCTCAGAAAACTGGAGCTATAATAATTACTCAGATTAGTCCAATAATTATCTTTAAATCTTACTTCTACTTAAAACTCATATAATTAATCTTATTATAGTTTAATTATTATATTTTATTTTACTTTACTATAGTGAATAAAAGTATGTCTTTCAAAGCTGAATTAATCCATAATTTCACAAATAATACTCCTTAGCAAGTGACAGAGACAAACAAAAGCACTTACCAGTCTGTAGCCAGCATATACAGTAGAACCTTACTTTTCTACTAAAAGGAATTTATATCACTTAATGCTAAATATATATTATGCTATATATTTATATATTATTTTATATATAATATGTAATATTATATATAACAGCATATTAAATATAAAAATAAAATAAATAATAGAATATGTTTTTAATTACTAAAAAGGAGTCTATGGTTTTAACAAGAAAATATTATTTTTCAGGTAATGATTTGAAAAGGTAACTGGAAAATAAGGAATTTAATAAGAATTCCATCCACTCAAGGAAACATTTTGATTAGGTCGTCCAAACTTGATTAGACATGAGATATTTCAAATTCAGTGATTTCTTAGAGATGGTTCTGAAATCAGTTTAACAAATAGCCTTTCTAATCCGCTGAGACTTACATCAGAAGAGGCAAATGGGGTCTGATATTCTTTCCTTTTACCTTCTGCAGGGTGGGGTTATTCCATGTCTTGATTCTGTGACTTTTATAAAGTCTGTTTTTCCATAACTCAAGGTTACACAAGTATAGCAAAAAATATAGATTCAGAAGACAGTATTCCCTTCACGAGTAGAACAGTATGTAATAACATATTAGATATTTGAAGTGTTGTTATTATCTAAGACTTCATTTGGTGTTTCTGTACTTTTGAGAAAATAGGTGTCCTGAACTGGCTAAATCTACCTATAAATTCAGAGGGTTTTTTCTGCTTTAAGGAAAACATTACATACAATCACTTCTAACTTGTTAGCAAAAGAGTCTTAATTTAATTTTTTTAAATTTATTTTAGGTGCAATAATGAGGAATTTTATTGTAGTTGTGAATATTCTGGCATTAACTCTGCCCTTTTTGGTAAGTTAATTTAATATAAATTTTGTTGGTAAGATGTAAAATAATTTTTATTTAAGAGATCCAATTATATGATTATCAAAATATGGGCATATTAAGGAGCATAACAACTGGTTAATAGTTTTTCTATGTTTACTTGGATTCTAAAAATAAATATTCTTCTAGATATCAGTTAGTTACCATAATACGTACTTCACTGTTCATGAAAAGCCTTCCAAATTCCTATGCTATACAGATCTATTTTTAAGAGAGAAAATACTGTAAATACAATTCATAAGCAATAAGTATAGAACTCCTAGTCCAGGATCAAAATTCTTTGGTTGAAATTTCTATCCCTCCAATCCTCCAGCCTCCTTAGGGACTAAATATTTAAAGACTTTAAATACTTCACTTATTTCTCATGATTTCTCTTTCTGTAATTCCTCAGGCTGCCGAGGTACAAAACCCACATCCAACAGTAAGTTGATATTATCTTTGTTAGAGACATGAACCCCAAACACAATACTCTGAAAAGTTCAATCATATTAAAATGCCTCTTGTCATAAAACTGAATAAATACTTAAATGCTTCCACAAGTTTAAAAGACCTTCAGACTTTCTAGTATTCAAATTACTGTCTTTTGTGACACTGTTCCTTACTATGTGACCTAGCCAAGTTCTTCCCAGGTGTCCATGCCCTTAATTAGTTCTGTGGCTGGTTGACCTGGAATTATATTTTATGTTTAAAATAAATCATGCAAAAGTTCTTCTTCTTTCAACTTTTTAATTAATTTTCATTGTAGTCTGGGCTATTTTTATGCTTTGTTTTCACACTCATTCTGCAATTCCAAGACCTGATTCTGCCAGCAGACAAGGGGGTGGGGAGAGCAACCTCGAGAGTAGTGTGTGCCTACTTGTTAAAATTACAAAATTTTTAGACTATTTGATCAAATTGTCAAATGTAAACAGGTATCTACTAAACAATACTTTTGAGTAAATTCTTAGGGTCAAAATTACCTTTAAAATTTTATTATGAGCTTTACAAATGTAAATTTGTAAATTTACAAAAGTATGGTTTTCTGTGGCCAGTTGCATGTGAAGAACTTGGGTTTTCTCTATGAGTAGTAGAAAGTAATTTTAAGTCATAAAATGAATCCATTCCTGCTCTACAGCAATGCTTAAATTATTGAGCCTACTTTATAACAAATTCCCCTTCCTGCTTTCTTTATTAAGGATTTTTAATTATTAAATATTAATTGTACATAATAATGTGCTACATTGTGACATTGACCTACATATCCAAAATATATTTTGGTCACACTTGTCCTCACTTACCCTCTTGTCACTTCCATGGCTCCCTTCCTCTTCTCAACAAGTCCCTCTTCTACTTCCTGTCCTTTTTTCCAACTTCACTTTTCTTATATTTCATACTTTATATGTGCAAGCAAAGCCTAATTGAGGTCACTCAGAGATATGTGTAAAGGGTCACTTACATGAGTGTGGGTAACTCACCAGTGGCTGAGCCACTGGAGACAATGCTTCTTCTGAGGAGGTTCCATTGCACAGTGGTTCACACTCTGGACCCTGAAAATGCCACTTCCTCTCCCAGCAGCCATTAACTGTAACCATTCCTCAGGAAGAAAGGGGCATGGTGAGCCCCCTCCCTATTCCATGATGGATTTTGGAGAGGCTGCATCTTGTGCAAGTGTTGTGTAGGCAATCACAGCTGCTGAGACCTCCTGAGTACAAAAGGCACATCTGGTCTGGAAGATAGATCCACAAAGATTTCAAGTCGCAAGAATATGATAAAATAAATTAAAAGGAAATAATTTTATAGATTTTACCATTCAATGTATGAGCTGTAAAAACCATATGAAAATTACAATGTGATACGTCCTTTTATGTGCCAATTAAATCTTCTATCAATGTAAAAACAAGCATAGCATTCATTTTGTCTTTAATAGAAAAGTGAAATGGAAAACAAACAAAAAAGAATTTCTGTTTTGATTTTTCTCTCTTGCCATTTCTCAATATTTTTCTCTAACCCCTAGGTTGCAGAGGTACAAAATCAGCAACAACTGGCTGTAAGTCTATTTTCAGTTATTTATATAACTGAAATATAATTTATATAATATAGTAGTCTTCAGAGAGTAACGTCTTCGGTTTAAAAACTAAATAAATATTTGACCTCCACAGGATAAACTAGTATCTTTTGATAAGTGAAAACACCACTAAAAGAAAAGATAATATGAACCAAACTGGATGTTTGCCTGATAGTTTTAGTTTCTTTGAATAGCCCAACTTGTGAGGGCTCAATTGAATGCTTCCTTTGCTTATGAGACAACTCTCCATATGGAATACTTAAAGGAAAAGAGCAAAAGCAGAACTTAATATCTCTCCTGTCCACTTGAAAAAGTTCAGTTGGAGAAAATGCCTTACCTGACTCATCCTTAAATCCACCACTTTTGCTCATATTGATGTCTTCTTTTGTTCCAAAATATCTTTGAAAAAATACATTAGTTGTTTCTTTTTACAAGAAGAGTTGCTATGCAGAATGACTTTGTTGGTTCATTAATATCGCTTTAGAAAAGTGTATCGGGAAAATTTTGTAACTGCACAAGGTTGGAAGAAATAAATAAAAACAGAAAAGTCATTAGTGGAGAAATTAAACTAAAAATATTTAAATCCAAGATTTAAATTAAAAATCTTCCTACGTTTTATTATTCTGTTATAAAACATGCCATTTCTTGGGTTGATAACATTTACCAACAAATGTAATATATAAGGCAAGAATACATCCATGTGTGTCTGTGAATATTGTGTGTGTTTGCATATAATGGGTGTAGTTCTCCTTTAGACTTTCCTATGTACTGCAATTAAATATGTAAAGTTTAGTTAGAACTTTAAATACATGCCATACTTACATACAGGGAAACATGTTTTACATTATTAATTACCTAATTTCTTCAAAAGAAATATGATTTCTATGTCAATACAAGCAATGTTTCACAATATTGAAATCATACACAGAATGGGAAATGTGTATATCCAAATATATAGGATTCCATATTTTCAATGTTCTATTTGCTCACCATAAAATCTGCATTATTTCAAAAGTTGGTGATGTTTTCTTTGCATTTTGATCTCCAATAAGAACCTTTCTGCACAATTTTCCCTTTCTGCAGTGCCGTGAAAAGCCTGAAATACTGTACAATCAGAAAAGATTCCTGTATACACCAGTTGGCTATATGCTGAATGGCAATCTTCCTTATGAACCTAGTTACTACCACCAGAGGCCATCAGTTGCTGTTATCCCAGCATATCGCCCATTTGTTATGATACTGCCTCTGCTTAGGTCACTAGCCCAAATCTCCCAATGGCAGGCAACACCAAATTTCCCCCAATCTACTGGGGTACCTCGTCCCATTCCAAGCCCTTCTTTTCTTGCCATTCCTACCAATAAAAATGAAGAAAGCACTGTCATTCCAAAAGTCCATACCGCTGCTCCTGTTGAGACTACACCAGTTCCCATCACTGAACCAGTGATGACTACTACTGTAGCCAACACAGAAGCTTCCACAGTGCTCATCAATACCCCCGAGGCTGTCACAGTCCCGGTATCTTCAACTGCAGCATAAAAACACTAAGGAACCATCAAAGAAGAAAATAAAGGTAAGTGAGCAAAAATGAAACAAACAATCCATATAACAAGCAAGGACTTATGCATACAATCACAAATTCTAACTAGTAAAAGTGGATGAATCGTGTTAAGAGAGCAGGCAAAATAGCCAACTAGAATCGAAATTGGGGATAACTGTAGCACTGACAAATTAGTCTTTGTTTCAATAAGAAATGAAAACAGTCTGTTTTTACAAAATGAAGAAATTTTGTACTTTTATCTAACCTTTTCCTAAAGGTTCCTCCTTTAATCTGTTTATTTTATTGCATCCATACTTTACAAACAGTGAAGTAAAATATTTTGTACACTCTCATGTGTTGAGTCTAGAGTTAACCAAAGTGAAATTTCTCCTACCATGTTGTATATCATATGGAGTGTTGGGCCAATAATCCCAGCTGCTAGGAAATTGAGGCTGGAAGATCACAAGTTCAAGACCAGCCTAGTCTACATAAAGAATGGGCCAACCTAAGAAACTTAGCGAGATCTTGTCTCAAAAATGAAAAAGGGGGGCTGAGGATATAATTCAGTGTAAATTTGTTGCCTAACATGTGTGAGGGCCTAGATTCAATTGCCTGTACACAGAGAAAAACACAAAAACACAAGAAAGGAAGAGAGAGAGAGAGAGAGAGAGAGAGAGAGAGAGAGAGAGAGA